CTTCCCACAGGGGGACAATTTCTATTTTATGTTACCTGTAGTTATTTGGCCTTGAAGATTTTCTGTGGTTAAGTTAGCCTGATCCACATAGAGTCCTGGGCCACCTGGAGATCCTGTCTCAAAATTCATACATCTATATTCACTAAGATTTTCAAAAATTTCAGCAAAAAGTACTATATAATAGGCTTTATATTTTACATTTTATTTCTCTTCTAGCTAACTTCCTTACTCCATTTTGAGGGGTATATTTTGAGTTGTATATATTTTATATTCCTTACTGGGTTGATTGAGAAATCAGTTCTTCTTTATTTATTTATTAATTTTTTTTTGAATCCTAGGAAAATTAACTTCTGGTTGTTAAAATGAAGCTCTTCGCATTTTCCTCCAGATCAGTGTGGGTGGTGGTTAGCTCGTACTTTGCAGTCAGAGCTTCTCAGTTCCAATATCTGTCCTCACACTGGCAGCACAGCTCGAGGTGGGGATCAAACCCAAAGCCTTCTGCATGCTAGGCAAGTGCTCTACCACTGAGCCACATCCCCAGCCCAAGGTCAAATTTATAGCCTAGTTTCTCTATCTGAAAAACAGGGACAACTTACACCTTGATGGACTGCTGTCAGGGTTAAAGCACTAAACAGAAAAAGCTTCATGTGTTCTCGGTGCACAGTGAGTGCCGCCCAGAGCCTGCTTTCTCTTCTGCTCTGCGCTCTAATTTTTCTTTTAAATTTTTTGATTGAATTTTTATGTATTTCATACAGAACATCTCAATCAATCTTAATCATCTTTATACCCTCTTCCCCACTGGCTCCCTCCCATAGTCCCCCCACTGGAATTCATACATTCTGTCATTTGTGTTAAGGCCTATTGTGTCAAGTTAGTGTCCCCAGATGTAGTGCAAGTTGATCTACTGAGGTCTATTCAGTCTATCTAGAGTCTCTCACTCTAGGAAGATCAGCTCTTCCTCACCCAGCAGTAATCAGTTGTCAATATTTCTTCAGCTAAGATTGGGGTCTGCTGTCCATTTCCCCCAGTTCTATGCTAATTTCTGAAACAATGCTCAGTGCATTCATTGTTGGACTTAATTATTTAATTAAGGACATACATTTTCCATGGAAGCACAATTTTAGCCTATTAATTTTATCATTTTTATTTTACTTTGTAAATTCTACCTTTGATTCTTCTTTTTCAATAAAGAGAAAGTATTTAAAAACTCTGATGTGATTGGTCTGTCAGGATTTTTGCACTATCACTGAGTCTTAAGTTTTCTCTGTACTTTTTACAGCCTGTTTTCAGCATCAAAATTTTCTGATCCATTTACTCTGAATTGTACTTTGATTTCCATTATAGCAATTTCTGCTTCTTTTCTTTTCAAACTCATCTCTGTCTACCACAGAAGAGTCCACAGGAGCTTGAATCTGAAGCTTTTGCATAGTTTTGTTGCTTTTTCAAATAGAGACAATCTGGCATAAATGCCCAGCACGTGGCTGGAGACCACACATGCTGGTCCACTGTCTCCCAATGCCCAACGTGCAGACCACAGACAGATTTTCCCAACATTTGCTCTTTCCTAAGAACATTTTACTCTGTTTATGGATGCTGATGAGTTTCAAAATTCTTACTTACAGGTAAAAGGGACTAACAGGAGAGGTGGGGTAAGAAACAGTCAGGAGGTCACAGGGGGAAATGCTTAATGAACATTATATCCATACATGGAACATGAAACCCAGTGCCATGAATACATACCAATAAAATATTTTTTAAAAATAAGTTTGTTTAGAGGCAACATAAAAGATTTAAAATTTTTTCCATATTGGGTCTCTTGAAAGAGCACATCTCTTTAGTTTGTGGATGTGTTTCCTTGTGTCAGGAAAACCTTCCTGTTACACATTGTCCTAGTTTGCTTAAACCAGCTTGGGGAGGAAATGGTTTATTTGGCTTAAGGCTCAGAGTACATCATCAAGGGAAGCCAAGGCAGGAACCTGGCACATAGACCATGCAGGTATTCTGCTTATTGGCTTGCTCTCTGGCCTGTGCTCAGCTTTCTCTCTCTCTCTCTCTCTCTCTCTCTCTCTCTCTATATATATTTTTTTTTTTTTTAATTGAATTTTTGTGGATCTTAATCATATTTAGCCCCACTTCTCTATCTATCTGTACCCCCATAGGCCACCCACAGGACTTCATGTATTTTGTCATATATGTTATGGCCTATTGAGTCAAGTTTGTGTACTCAAATGTCCCTAAGTGTGAGTTTAATCAGCCTGCTTTCTTACACAACACAGGACCACCTGCCCATGGGTGGCAACACCCACAGTGGGCTGGGCCTTCTCACATCACTTAACAATCAAGAAAATGTCCCACAGACATGGCCATAGGCCAATCCAATGGAGGCAATTCCTCAGGTGAGGTTTTCTCCATCTGTCAAGCTGACAACTGAAGCTATCCAGCATACACATTGAATGGTATTTTCTGTGAAAACACCAAGTAATTTTATAGTCACTCTCCACTGTGGTCCCCTTATATAATCACTGTCAATTTGAATGCATTTAGAATCACCTAGAGATTAGTAAAACACACTTCCTGGTGCGCCTTAAAGGATATTTTTATAGAGGGTTAACTGGGTGTGTGTTTTGGGGGGTGGGGGTGGGGCACATCCTGAATGTGGATGACACCATCCTTGGGCTGGGGACCCAGCTGGACCAAATGAGGAAAGAGCTGAGAGCTGACCTCCTCCATCCTTTCTCTCCTTTTATTCCACCCTGCCATGAGCTTTCCTCCAGGCCTTCCCTGCAATGCCCCTCGGAAACAGTTGAGTACAGTATAGCTGCTCTCGAGTTATTTCTGTCACAATACATTTCTGTATTTTGGTCATAGCCACACAAAGGAATGCACCCTCTTCTTCATTCCTTACTCTTTCATACATGCCAGGGAACTGTGAGCCACAGTCCACAGGCTGACCTTCGAGCCAAGAATGATTTTACAATGTTAGAATATCCCACAGAGATTTATCTCAATGTATAAAAATATTTGCCCTCTGGCCCTTTTAGAAAGTTTGTTGACCTCCGGCATCTGTCCTTGCAAAGTCCATCTAGTTTATTTTCTATGGTTCCAATGCTACTTTTTCTGTTGTTGGTTCTCTGACACTGTTTCCAGTGAAGATTTTAATTTTTCTAAAAATTTAAAGTTCCTGACCTGATTACTGTTCTACTTTGCTTCTCTGTTGCTGTGAGAAAACACTGACCAAAACCAACTTGGGGAGGAAGTGGCTTATTTCAGCTTACAGGTTATAGTCCATCATTGAGGAAAACCAAGGCAGGGACGCAAGGCAGGAACCTGGAGGCAGGATCTGAAGCAGGGACCGTGGAGGAATGCTACTTACTGGCTTGCTTCTCTTGGCTTGCTCAGCTGACTTTCTAATGCTGCCTAGGCCCACCTGCCTAGGGATGGTACCGCTCACAGTGGGATGGACTGAGAACGCCCTGCTGCCCAGAGGCCAATCTGATGGAGGTAATTTTTCAGTTCAGGTTCTTTTCTCCCAGGAGTGTCAAGTTGACCATCAAGATTAACCATCACAATTACATCATTGTTTTCAGCTCAGAGTGGTCAACATGTCCTTCTTTTGTCTTTTGCTCCAAATTCACAAAGAATATTTACTTTCCTGAATTCCTGAAAATGTACTTAGGTGGGGTCTTCCTTCACCTCATTTTTAGTACTTTTCCATAAGGTTCTGTGACCTACCTACCCTTCCTTCCTCCCTGCAGCCCTCCCTCTCTTGGCACACTGTAAAACTTGCCTAGACTTACTGTTTATAGATCGGCACGGGCTCTGCTCTAACTGCCTAGCTAACAGTAAACTGCCTGAGATGTGTTCTTCTGCGTGTTTAGGTATAACTCTCCTGACTGTCTAATTCTACGCTTTGGAATGACCTCCTGAGAACAGAAGCCAGTGAATTACTGCCCGTGTCCTGTATGCCCAGTTGGTCACATGATTTTTATATTTTTAATAGGATTATAAAAAAATAAATATGTGACTGAAACTCTTTGAGGTATGTAATACTGACAGTATTTCTTATCCAGTCTTATATAGTAAAAGCACCTGCTGCTGAATTAGCTGTGTCTGAGCACCCAAATTCTGAGGCTGCTAAAGTCTTTTCTGTAAGTTGCATGACATGAGCTTACTTGTACTGAACCCCACACACGCCTTATTCATTTATTTTTCCCAGATGAGGTCTTGCTGTGTTGGTCAGGCTTGTCTCAAACTCACTGGCTCAAGTGATCCCCCTGCCTCAGCCTCCTGTGGAGCTGGGATTCCAGATGAGCACTACTATGCCCAGATTCGCTCATCTGCTTCCAAGCATCTTGAGATTACCTGTAACCTAATCAAACAGGAATGCCACATATAGTTTTAGTGTATTATTTAGGGAATAGTAGCAAGAAGAAAGTCTGTTCATGTTCAGGACAGGTTAAGATTGCTTTCTCCTGTGTTTTCTATCTATCCCTGGTTAATTCCAATGCTGGAGAATTACAGGGAGGAATGACTGTCCCTCATAGGTGGCAGCCTCTTATCTTATGTGTGGCTCTCTCATCTGATAGACTGTGTCCTAAATCTACAGTCCCTCCCATCTGAGTACTTACCTATACACTTTGATTCATTGGGGCTGTATCTCAGAAGAAATGGCCCTACCCCTAGTTACCAGCAGCCAGTTTTTTAAATGATGCGAAGGAGATGCATGAGGCAGCTGTATTAGAGAAAAGGAGGCAGGATGCTGGGGAAAGGGACCTCACAGCTAGGTCATCTTCAATGACAATGAGTCCTGGAGTATCTGTGGTAAGGGTCAGCACTAGGGGATCCAACGGATCTTCTTTATGACTCTTTTTTATTATTATTATTAGGTAAGCAGTAGCTTACTGCAAAAACTGCTGCAAAATCATGAAGTAGTTTAAAAACAACAGAGTAAGATGATGATCCATTATACACGAAGCCAGAAAACACAATACCAGCATTACCTGTAATCATGCACTATTTTTCTTGCACTCTCTAGTTGTTCATTTGTTAATAGAATGTTCCTGGGATCCGTCACAGTGAAGAAGTGATTGGCTCGGCCAACAAAAGTGCTTTGATCCCATCGAGGCTCCTTGATGTTAATATTGAGTGGTAGCTCCCCAGACATCGTCCTGGATTCTGGAAAGGCAGAAACAAGTCAAGTGAGGTCACACCGTCACCACACGCTTCGAAACTTTGCAGTCACACTTAACCTGAAAGAAAAGATGGCTCAATGGGTAAAAACTTGCCATGAAAGCCTGGTGACCTGTGTCCTATCCCCGGAACTCACATGAAAGGTGGAAGGTGGGAGCCACCTCCACAAAACTCTGACCTCCACATGTATGCTCCCTTGATGCACATACACAATAATAAATACATTTTAAAAAATCACAAAACAATCTCACATTTAAGGAAGTTTATGATTTTGGGTTGTGCCACATTCACAGCTACCTTGCAGCACACAGGCTGCAGGTTGGACACGCTCTTAAACCAAAGCAAACTCATAAACCTCAAGTGTCTTAACCAAATTTCAACAATTTGCTACCTCTTTCTCTTTATAAATGCATAGTATTTCATGATTCCTTTTTTATTGGAAAGATAAAAATATTCTAGATAAGATACAGCTTTTGTTTTGTTTTTTTTTTTTTTGCTTTGTTTTTTGGGGGAAGAAAGAGTTTATTTGGCTTACAAGCACAGTCCATCATCAAGGGAAGCCAAGGCAAACTCAGGGCAGGAAGCTGGAGGCAGGAGCTGAAGCACAGATCATGGAGGAACACCGTTTACTTGCTCCCATGGCCCATGCTCAGCCTGTTTTCTTATACAAACACAGGACCACCTACACAGGGGTGGCACCACCCACAGTGGCCTGGCCCTCCCATATCACTCAAAAATCAAGAAAATACCCCCACAGACATGGCCACAGTCCAATCCAAAGGAAGCAATTCCCTAATTGAGGCTCCCTCTACCTAGGTAAGTCAAGTTGACAACTAAACCTATCTAGAACAATTGACCCCTTGTCAACTTGACACACAAACACATCACTATTAAACCACAACCTCTCCATTTCTTGCACCCAAGATAAAATGTTATTACCCAAATTGCTAATAGGGGGATAGGGATGCAGACTGCTCTGGCTTCTTCCATGCTGAACAGGGATGCAGGGGAGGCAATTGGAGTACCCCTTCAGTAGGTCTATCTAAAAGACTCCCAAATTACATAACTCTTATCTCTAAGGGGAAAAGAAAGCCCTTGAGACGTGAAGAAGTAAAGGCAAGAGTAATTAGCATTACAAGTTCTAGACGGGGAACTAGAAAAAAGTCAGAACAGGGCAATTTTCAAATGTTCATATGAGAGTCCACTGGACTTTATTGACAAGGGCTTCTGAAAGCATCCCTCTATTGGGTTCCTCCTCATTTTTCTTTTGTCTTCCAAGGCTCCAAGGCTGGACTAGTTGGCTGGCAAGAGTGGCTGGATACTCAGGTAAGGGTGATAAGATGCAGTTTTAAAGTAACAAGGGTTGGAGAGATGGCTCAGTTGGTAAACTGCCTGCCACACAAGCGTAATGGCACAAGTTCAGATCCCAAGAGCTCGCTGGCCAGTCAGCCTAGCCAAATCAGGAAACTCCAGGTTCAATAAGAGGTATTGTTTCCAAAGTAAGATGGAGAACAACTTGGGGAGATACCCAACATCAGCCTTCAGCCTCCATGTGCTGTAGTGCCCTCCTGCTTCATGACCATCACTTTCTTCCAGTACCTACTAATTTATTTCTAAAATACTGCTTATTTTAGAAATACACTGTAGTGTTGTAATGCATGCTTATTACAGTGCTCTGAAAATGCTAAGCGTACCATACAAAATAACAAAGAAACACAATTTTTCACAATCTAGCTGCTCTGTAATAATTATCATTTTCAGACATTTCCTTGCAGAAAGCTTCTATATATATCATATAAAATAATTTGATGTTATCTTTTTTATTTATTTATATTTTGCCTTTGAGAATTCCATTCAATGTATTTCATCATATCCATCCTTCCTGCCCCACTCCCCAACCCCCCCTCAAATTTGTGTCCTTTTGTAATTATTGTTTTATATGTATATCTATATCTATATAATTATATATATCTATATAATTATCTATATCTATATAATTGAGCTACTGAGTCCAATTAGTGTTCCCTGTATGTACATGGGTGTAGGGTCAACCACTCGGGCATGGGGAACCTATGAAGCAGCTTGTCTCTGAAGAAAGCTAACTCTCCCTCCCTCAGCAGCTCCTGACTGCCTAGAGGGGCCTGGTGAGCCTTCTCTTGCCAAGCTAGAATGTTGACTGGTATAGTCCTGTGTAGGCAACCATACTGTTAAAGAGTACAGGGGTGCAACATCTCTGCCATGTCCAGCAGACACCATTTCCCAGCAGTCCTCCAGCCCATTGGTTCTTACAACCTTTCTGCCACTCTCTTCTGTGATGTACTTTTTGCATTTGTTCAAATAAAATCCTCCACAGAAGCAATAAATCTTCATTTGGACATGTAATCCCTTTAATCCGTATGCTGTTTTAGTTCTCAGTTTCCATATCCCTGTCTCAGACCTCTTCCCTTATGGCTGGTGATTTTCTTAGATGAAGTCTCAGGTGTTTGCAGGTCACAGTATCTAATGCTACCGAGACTTCAAGTTAACTTTTGCATCTACTCTCTCTCCATTTCTAAGACCAGCTCTAACCACAGCTTTCTTTTTCCAGCTCACTTTTCATTGCGTTATTTTATTAGTTTCACAAGTCCTCAGGTACATTAAAACGCTAAGCTTACCATACAAAATAACAAAATTTTTCACAATCTAGCTGCTCTGTAATAATTATCATTTTCAGACATTTCCTTGCAGAAAGCTTCTATATATATCATATAAAATAATTGCAAAGGCTAGGCAACCTTGTAATTTTTACTTTAGCAAAATATTCAAAGAACATCTATCACTGACCATGGATCAAAACTGAACATACTAGTTATGCACCCACATATGAAGCATTGTGTATGTGAAATGGTTGAGCAGTGAAAGCAAGAAAGTAAAATTCAGCCCAGCTATTGATAAAACAGGCTGGGATAACAGACGCAGATAAAGGCAGCTGCAAAGTTAATAGGAAACCACTTTTCTCCCAGGTTATGATGCAGCTAATAAAGTGTCACAACAGCTCCTTGTCAGAGTGACACGGGTTCCTATCGCAGAAACCTTGTTCTCCACAATCACAGATGGTCGGAAGCTTTGCTGCCTGAAATCACACCTCGACAGAAGGGTACTGAGTTTCCAGCGCAGGTGCAGAGCTTCACATTAGGACAGTTTTGGACTTAGTATTCCAAGTCTACCTTAACTTTATAGTTTCCAAGGAAACAGGGGTATTGGTCCGCTACCTAGTCCAAACTTCTAGCCCCAGTCATGCTTTGAGCCCATCAGAACACTGTATCATTAAACCCCACCTGAATTCTCCCCTCCTCCACATGCTATGACAGACCTCTCTTCTCCGCTTGGCAAGACCCCACATGACTCCTCTAGCTCACTACCATGAGCGAGAAGGCATGCCTTTGTTGGACGACAGGTGTGTCCCTGTTGGTCTCTGCTTGACTAGGTTAGGATACGGAACAAATCTAAACTACAAATTAGAACAAATCATATTCTAATGCATGCTAAGTCCAGGGATAAAGACATACAGAATACAGTAGCCGCCCCCACCCCATATCTGAGGGCGATGCACGTCCTTTGCTGGAAACCATAGATAGTACAGAACCTTATACATACTGTTTTTAGCCTATCCATATATAATTACAGTAAGGTTAGTTAATAAATTAGGCATGGCAAGAGGTACCTAAGTGTTATCAAATAAATACTAAACATTTCAATCCCCAGCACTGAAAAAACAAACCCAAGGAACCAACCAAACAAAAACCATAAAAAAGAAAACAAAAACCACAACCCCCACAAACAACCTGCTTTTTCCAGGTGTGGTAGTATACACCTATAATCCTTGTAAGTAGCAGCTTGAGGCAGGAGGATCTTGAGTTTAAAACCAGTCCAAGCTACACAGAGAGCACAACTCTTTCTCAAAAGGCAAAAACCTGAGTCAGACAAGGATAACATGATATAACTTCCTCCTGTCCTGGAACGGACCAATCAAAGACAGCTCCTTCCCTTTAGCAGACCATATTCCTCACAGGAGTCTTCTAGCCATGTTTTCCCTAAAAGGTCCCGAAGTCCCATCTTTAGTGTTGGTTTGCTGGGCACCGATTACATGACAGATTCTTCACAGCCCAAAGGAGAACAGCTCTTGCTCTACTGGAGCTGAGAGCAGGATGACCCAGTAACAGAAGAAATAAGCAACAGACAGAAGGCATAAGAAACAAGTACACTATTCATCACACCAGCAGGCAGTAAATGCTTAAAGGAAAAGAAAACAATGGCACAGACAAGAGCATGAATATTACAGGTACCATTTTCAAACAGGGGAGCCAGGGCCACGAAGCTTCACTGGAAAATAACACTGCAGGACAGGGGTGTGGAATTCAATTGTGGGTACCTGTGAGAAGAGCATTTTAGGTAAAGGGAACAGACACTGCAAAGACACAGCAGGAACGCCTCTGGTGTCTTCAAAGAAAAGCAAGAGCTGAACCTAGTTGTACAGCCTGAACTCTAGTCACTCTAGAGGCTGAGGCAAGAGGATTGCAATTTTAAGGACAGCTTGGGAAATTTAGTGAGACCTTGTCTCAAAACAAAAGGTAATAAGAGGGCTGGGAATATTATTCAATAGTATGGCACCTGCTGCATGTGTGAGGCCCCAAGTTCTCAGTACCGAAGGAAAAAAAAGCCCAACCTTCCCTCTCCACTCCCCCAGCCAGCAGAGTGTAGGCTGAGGAAGAGGGAGACAGATAAGGAAGATAGAGAGACCACAGGAGGGATTCAGTTGGGGTGAGGCTGGGCAGGGTCTGAGAGCCACTGCTTGTCACTGAGGAGTTAATAGATGCCACTGAAGGCTTCTGACTGATCAGAGCCCCTCTATCAATGTATGGAACAGACCCAGGGACAGGAGACGGCAGCAGACAGCAGCTGCGGGCTGACAGCACAATCCAGGGATATGCTGATGACTCCACCAG